CAGCTTGACATTTAATCAACAAATCCCATCCAAATTTCATTCAGGGGCGCAAACACTAACATTTTTTAGCATTAAATGAGCGGAAGAAGCAATTATTGTCACTAACGTTTGACTCGAAAATTATTCCTAGCAAGTGCGTTTTTTAATCACTTTTGGCAACACAGCTAGAAATGTAATCAACAAATTTCATTCATATTTTATTTAGAGGCGCAAAAGTTGCCATTTTTTGAGCATTAAAGTTGCCACTAAAGTTGCTTACAAAAATTATCCCGAAAGCGCCCTCAGCAGAGTTTGATTGAACAACTAAAAATAAAAGCCAGCTTTTTCTGAATTGCCGACGTTTTGTCATATTTATTTGCACATCCTCAGGGCAACGGTATGCTGGGACCCTGAGGGTGCCAAAATAAATGTGGCAAAACGTCGGCAGTTTTTCAAAAACTGTATTTCGTTTTTACTGGCTTTGCATGTTACAGAGAGAAAACAAGAGTTTAACTCGGGTCTGCAAAGACCGTCACACAATTTGGAAAAATTCTTGAAAATTGCTTGATGATGACTGAAACCTGAAACTTTTTCCCTTTATAGAGCAGACGTTGTCCTGCAAACTTGATAGAAAAGAGACTTGATATCTTTGCAGGTTCCGGCGCAAATAAAAAAATGCCCAGCTGCGGCCTACAAACACAAATTTTTGCAAAAATCGTCAAAAATTGCCTGATGATGATTGAAAATCGAAACTTTCTTCACTGATATACGGGGCTCTGCCCTACAAGACGCCTACAAAAGTCAACTTTCTCACTTTGGACGTTGCAGAGAAAACAAACGTTAAAACCTGGCCTGCCAAATCTACTGCGAAAAACGCACACGGTTTTGAAAAATTCGCGAAAATTGCCTGATGATGACTGGAAATCGGAACGCTTTCCATGTGTAGCACCGACTTTGTCTTACTAAATGCATAAAAAAATTGCCTCTAGGCCAGACGCCGGCCTGCCGAAATAAAGATGGCAAAACGTCGCCAATTTAAAAAACAGCCTTTCTGTCCCCGTTTGAACGTTTTTTTGCTTCCACACTTTTGCTGTAAAGAGAATTTCCCGAAAAACTCTGGCGGGTCTTTTAAAGTGGGCCTCTTGAGTGAGTTTCTCCCCCACATTTCGAACTGGACAAAATTCGCATTAAGAGGAGGACAAACGTATGGGAAACGTGGACGAAAAAGTCCTGCGTCGATCCGATCCCTCCATGGCTTTCCATCGACTTCTCCTTTCCACCACGTTCGCGTCGCTCTCCATTCCAGTATCGAACGGTACGCGAACGCGCTTGGAGAAACCCCGACACGCATTTCAATCGGCATCGTGGACAGATGCGACGTCGCCGACGATCTTCTCCCGTGACGATTCGATCGTGACAAGATGAGCGGGCCCCAAAAAAACGTGGGCGAGGGCCCCAAACGGCCCCCCGAATCGCCGCAAAGTCCAAAAACGCTCCGCGAAACTGTGAGTTTCTACGAAAAGGTGTGGACGGGCTCTGGATCGGCCGGCGTCCGAGCCGAGGGTGTCCAGGTGGACGTTGATCAACTGGAAAGTCGACTGGCCGAGGAAAAGGCCCGACATCAAGAGGCGGTTGCTTTGGAGGCGGTTTCTCTGCGACGAGCACCGACTTTGTCGCCCAGACATGATGTGCGACACACCAGCGGTTTTGGTCCAGACGGCAGTTTCCAGGCAGGAATTTCACCCAATTTTCTTCCCAAATGTTTTGCAATGAGATTGGCGCAGCCAAGCCATTAACTAAAGGAGTTTACTAGAAAATCGCTTATATAACAGCCAATGGTGAGGCTCGCAAGACAAAGCGTAGGCGCCCAAGCTCGGAAAGCCGGTTTGTCTTGGAGCTGGCAGGTCAGGGCAGGAACGACCGAAAGCTCAAACCAGATTCCCCATGTGCAATTAAACCAATTGGCCAATTTGCTGAGTTCTTCTAATAGCGGTGACATCAGCTGATGATCAATTCTAATTTATGCCGCAATTAAAATGGGGCGTCCAGTCCATAAATTAGTCCACCCCGAATATTGTTCACGTCTCTAACCGGCTTCCCTCAATACAAACTTTGACATTGTCCAGTTTACTGGCCTTATATTGATCTCCTTGGACCTTCAGTCACTGAGCAATGTGGGCTTTTATTAGGAAAATCTCCAGCCAACCTGGCAGTTTTATGCTAGCAGGGGAAGCTGAAACTCGGTTGAAACTGGGGAGTTTTTTGCGGCCGAAATTGTTTGTGACATTCGCAGTTGTGCAATTTTTTTTGCCTTTTACAAAACTTTTCATTCATCTTTATGCGACTAACCACTGAACAATTTAGGATTTTCACCACGATCAGATTACACTTTAATTACAGATTTATTAGCGTATAACCGACGATTTGCGGCATCGTAGGCCCTAATCTCCACGCGTCGGCATAGACGAGTTTTCGTAGCGGGCCTATAAGCCAATGCGGCCGTATTCGATCCCAAACTATCCTCTTCAGGGATTCTTTCTTCTTCCTTATTCTGCAATTTTTCACAAAAAGCTGACGAAAGTTTCAAATATTTCGATGAAACCAGAGTAAACGCGACTGAAAAGTGGAAAATACTGAACTAGACCGAATTTTTTCGGTTTTTCCGCTCTCCACTTTGTGTAAATTTACCTTAAATATTAAAATTAGCCTAATTGGCCACTTGGCCACTAATCGACCCACATTATTTTGAATGCATTTACACCAACAGCTGGGAAGTTGCAAGCGTTTATTTTGGACACTTGAATGGATAGCGTTTGAAGCCTAACGTGTCAATTATTCCTACTAAATCCACAGTTTCATCGCTATTGGCAACTGCGCTTGAAACTTTATCAACAAAACCCATTCAAATTTCATTCAGGGGCTCAAACGTACCCTTTTTTTAGCATTAAACGAGCGGAAGGAGCTACTAAAGTTTGACTCGAAAATTATTCCTAGCAACTGCGATTTAAAATTACTTTTGGCAACACAGCTTCAACCAAACAATTCACAAACTCCATTCATATTTTATTTAACAGCTCAAAATTTGCCATTTTTTGAGCATTAAATCAGTAAAACACGTAACTGCTGCCACTAAACTTCGATTCAAAAATTGTTCCTAACAATTGAGTTTTTTAATCGCATTTGGCAACACAGCTTGACGTTTAATCAAAAAATTTCATTCAACTGCGCAAACACTAAAATTTTTTAGTATCAAATGAGCGGAAGAAGCAATTATTGCCAGTAAAGTTTGACTCGAAAATTATTCCTAGCAAGTGCGATTTTTAATCACTTTTGACAACACCGCTTCAAACAAACAATCAACAAACTCCATTCATATTTTATTTAGCAGCTCAAAATTTGCCATTTTTTGAGCATTAAATCAGTAAAACACGTAACTGCTGCCACTAAAGTTCGATTCAAAAATTATTCCTACTAATTGAGTTTTTTCGTCACATTTGGCAACACAGCTTGACATTTAATCAACAAATCCCATTCAAGTTTCATTCAGGGTCGCAAACACTAACATTTTTTAGCATCAAATGAGCGGAAGATGCAATTATTGCCACTAAAGTTTGACTCGAAAATTATTCCTTGCAGGTGCGTTTTTTAATTACTTTTGGCAACACAGCTAGAAATGTAATCAACAAATTTCATTCATATTTTATTTAGAGGCGGAAATGTTACCGTTTTTTAGCATTAAACGCGCGGAAGGAGCCACTAACTAAAGTTTGACAGTAAAATTATCTTTAGCAAATGCGATTTTTATTCACTTTTGGCAACCTAGCTGCAACCAAACAATCCACAAACTCCATTCATATTTTATTTAGCAGCTCAAAATTTGTCATTTTTTGAGCATTAAATCAGGAAAACACGTAACTGCTGCCACTAAAATTCGAATCAAAAATTATTCCTACTAATTGAGTTTTTTCATCGCATTTGGCAACACAGCTTGACATTTAATCAACAAATCCCATTCAAGTTTCATTCAGAGGCGCAAACACTAACATGTTTTAGCATCAAATGAGCGGAAGAAGCAATTATTGCCACTAAAGTTTGACTCGAAAATGATTCCTAGCAAGTGCTTTTTTAAATCACTTTTGGCAACACAGCTAGAAATGTAATCAACAAATTTCATTCATATTTTATTTAGAGGCGCAAAAGTTGCCATTTTTTGAGCATTAAATGAGTGAGACGCGCAATTATTGCCACTAAAGTTGCGTACAAAAATTATTCCTTACAATTGGGTTTTTTCACCACTTTTGGCAACAAGGCTTGAAAATTAATCCGCAATTTATTAAGCAAAATCGCATTTTTTTGCAGAAGAACTCATCTGTTTGGGGTTTTAAACGAACAAAATATGCAATAACTACCACTCAGTATTAACTCGAGAAATATTCCTACCAATTCCGAAGTTTCATCATTATTGGCAACAGAGCTTCCAATTTAATAAACAATTTTAGTTGCAGTTTTCCCAGAAAATTCAAAAACTGCATTTTTCAGCTAATATACTCATCTGCTAGGGATTTAAACGAACATAACTGCCACTTATGTTTTGCCTGGCAGTTGCGGTTTTCCATAACATTTGGCAACAAAGCTTCGAAAAAATTCAGATTACATAGAAATGCGAAACCGGTTTGCATAAAACTCATTTGCCAAGGGTTGAAACGAACAAAAGCTTAATGGCAATTTTGCTACAAATTTAATATTTCATTACCCAACAGGTTTCGAGCGTAAAAACTATTTATCATCAGGCTTGGCGCCTTTCAATTCAAATTGTCATCTAGATGAGTTTTCCGCAAAAAATTGTTAAACGAAAAGCTGAATTTTTCATTAGTTTCAAGCTCTGTTGCCAGCAATGCCTGAACTTCGCATTTGCTGGGAATATTTGTTGCTTTCGGGTGGCAAATGCCAATTCATTGGACCGCAGTAGAAAATATTTGATTTAATAATTCGCACTGTTTCGGCTAAGTAAATTAGTGAAAACCAGGCGGTTTTGGCATAAAACAGTAGAGTCGAGCGCAATTTTTTCCTCTTGGACTATCGCTCGTTTATTTCCAATGATGCCAAATGAACTGTGGAGGAAATCGAGTTTTTCCTAAGAACTAACTGATCCTTTAGTGATCCTAGTGATCTTAGCATTCAAGAAAAAGCTGTTTCTATAGGAAAAATCTCTTTTTTAGCCTTCCCATCACACTTTCACCGTTTGATTAATCAATCTTTAGTGCGTCCAAAAAAAAGGACACGCATTTATACATTTCCGCTGCGAACTTAAGCCGACGAATTTTGAAAAATAGCATTCAACAGGTAGCTCAGACATGTTAAAATTAGTTGTTAACAATTGCATACACGTTCCACTATTTGCCAAAGTGGTTTGAATAGATGATAGGCGTTTGCTGCTAAATACAGGACAATGTGGCGTCTATATGTGACCGGCGTGTCACGGTTAAAATTAACTCCAATCAACCTTGAAATGCCGACTATTTGATCAGGTGAAAATTTAATGCAGGTTTTTACCATCAGTGAAAAATTAAGTGCAATTTTCCGACCCAAGTGCGATTCAGTCTGGTTGGCTGAGCATTTCTTTTGAGCCAATTAAGTCTTAAGCCTGTGTGTACGATGAAAGTGTTTCTATTGGTTGGAGATCTGTCAATTCGTACGACGGACGAATTGACAGATGATACGAAGGTACGAAAGTGTTTCTATTGGTTGGCGATCTGTCAATTCGCCCGCTGGCGGACGATCATCATCGTACCATCGTATGAACGAATGCATGAAACACGGGCTTTAAGCGCGCAAATTGTTCTAATTTCGTTGCATTTATCTAGAGTGTTTTTGATTTTTTAATTGCATTGTGTTTGAGTCTATCGACCACAGTTGACAAAAACGCTAAAAGCTTTCCTTTGAAGCGCCAGCAAAACCCCGAAAACTCAGGGCCTGACGGCCTTTCAAGCAACGATTCTGCGAATTGTAAAAAAAAGACTGTTTTTTTCTCCGTGTAGTCTGGCGCCCCGTTTTGAACTTTCGCTTTTCGACATTCATTCACGAATTAATTCAACATGTTTGTGACCTTCCAAATGGCCTGCAGCCCATTCTGTACACTGAAGTGTCTGAGTTGGGTAATTCCATTATGGGTTTCTAGGTTACAACAAATTAACCGGACGACTTTTGTTTATGTTGTCATTTGTTGCCCAATCCTAGATTCTCAGCCAGTGTTACGTAGATGTTTGCATTCGTTTCAATTCGTTCTAATCGGCAATTAGTTGTTTTTACGACCCTTATCGCCGCTTCCAATTAAACGCTCGTACAAGCCATTGGCATTGGGAAAAAGCTGCGAAAAACAATTCGCAAATCTTCTCAACTTATTAACGTCTGTGTTTCCAAACGCAAAAATCACTAAACCAACTGTAAATATAGCCCGCAAGTTATGCTTGATAACCTTTCAACAATGCGATAAGTGATAGCATGTAGGTACGTTCATACAGAACATGTTAAATTATCCAGGCTTTTGAAAATTCGTTTTTATTCCAACACTTCTTCGGTTAATGCAAGCGTCATGGAAGTCTTGCGCGTGCAGGAATTAATCTCAGGCACCACCAGGACCGGTTTCCAGCCCATAGGAGTCCAAAGATGCCGAAAGAGGCATATAAATCGCTCAAAGATTATGGATGTTTTTATTTAAATCCGTCCGCTCTTTAAAAATTCGCCTCTTCTAAACGAAAGCAAGTAGGAAAATGATCTTTGCACCCTCTATAGAAGATACTTGAATCTGAAGGTGACAAAAGCTTTATTCAAATTGAGCCTAATCCGGAATTTTTCCAACGTCGTCAACGTGGGACGCTAAATGGGTATTTTTACCCAAATGCTCCCGATTGTTTAAAAACCCGTACCTTCCAAACTGAAGCAACTAGGAATGCGAAATTGGGACGATCTATCGAAGATACTTGAATCTGAAGATTCCGAAAGTTTCATTAAAATCGAACATTATTCTGATTTTTACCGACGTCGTACATTTGGGCCTCAAATTGGATGTTTCTACTCAAATGCGCCATCTCGTTTAAAAATTTGGATTGTCCAAACGGAAGCAACTGGGAAGATGAAATTTTCGCCACCTATAGAAGATACTTGGATCCGAAGATGACAAAATATTTACTCAAATTGAGCTTAATCCGGATTTTTTCGAGCGTCGTAAACTTGGGTCGGAAAATTGGCATTTTTACCCCAATGCGCCCCATTTTTCAAAAATTCGTACCTTCCAAACTGAAGCAACTAGGAACGCGAAATTGGCACGATCTATCGAAGATACTTGAATCTGAAGATTCCGAAAGTTTTAATAAAATCGAAAATAATTCTGATTTTTACCGACGTCGTATAGATGGGTCTCAAATTGGATGTTTCTACTCAAATGCGCCATCTCGTTTAAAAATTTGGGTTTTTCAAACGGAAGCAACTGGGAAGATGAAATTTTCGCCACTTATAGAAGATACTTGGATCCGATGATGACAAAAGCTTTATTCAAATTGAGCTTAATCCGGAATTTTTCCAGCGTCGTCAACGTGGGACGCAAAATGGGCATTTTTACCCCAATGCGCCCCATTTTTTAAAAATTCGTACCTTCCAAACTGAAGCAAATAGGAATGCGAAATTCGCACGATCTATCGAAGATACTTATATCTGAAGATTCTGAAAGTTTCAATAAAATCGAAAATTATTCTGATTTTTACCGACGTCGTACATGTGGGTCTCAAATTGGATGTTTCCACTCAAATGCGCCATCTCGTTTAAAAATTTGGGTTTT